TCACAGCCTGAGAAAGTGTTGCATCCAAGAAAATCAAATCAGGGAACCAGTATCATGCTATAATTTTTCACATACAACATTTTTCTCAGATAATGTTGTATATTAGTTTACAATTCTTCATTAGCAAGTAAATAATTTGGGAAAACTGACAGTTACGGACAATAATTCCTTGCTTCTGGAAGCAAATAAATTGCTGGTTTAGAATCAACTTATATATGTTATTATGTCATTTTTAGATTAATGAATGGGGTTCTCAGCATACATTGAGCAATTTCTTGAATCTTGGAACTTTTTCCTCAAAATTCCTATTCAAAAAGCCATCTACTTTTCTACAACATAGAAAACAATGTTTTTACAGTATCTTTGATAAAAGCAAAGGTGTTCAATATACAAAATCCAAATTCCATAGTACAATTCTTAGAAAACAGAAAGAAGCTATCTCTCCAGATTTATACAGACATGATAGTATGAAGTTTTCAGAATTATTTATAATAAATACATCCTCAGAAGTATAGAATACTTAATGCACAACCACAAGCCAGGAATTTATTTAGGTACTTTTCTATGACTCACATATATCGAAGTTTCCAAAAGTAATTCTTCAATTTCAGAAGCTGATACATGTAATGTGACTTGACAGCAATATCGACAAATATATTAATTTGGAACATCACAGTGACTCAATTCAGTGAAGTGGAAAAAAAATAATTAGATGTTCAGAATCACTTCGTTAAACCTAAGACTCTACATATTCATAGAAAACGGGCAAATATAACATCAAATTTCATATTATGGCAATTTCATAAAAGACTGTTACGGTTTTCAATGCCATACACCCCTAATAGAAAATCAGTTTTCATAACACTATTTTAGTTTTCCTTGAATGTTTTCATAAACATGCACAAATGTGAAACTTGAATGATAAAAATTATCTAAGACATACTAGTTAATCAAACAGCTCAATAATTTGATATATTATTCCCCATTACTTGGTGACTAAAGTTACTTACTACAAATAATTGTCAGGAACTAAAATGTAAAACTAGCACTTCTATCACCTTGCTCATTTTCATGAGGTTTTTGTACAGCATTTTAATTACAAATAGTATACATGATACGACTGCAAGGAACACTGCCTAGGAGTATTTTGACCTGACATTCTGGAAAAGGTATTTGATTGCTCAGTAAAACTATTGTACTAAAAATAATTTCTAGATTAAAAGGGACTTTCTTTCCTTTAAAGCTGTGATATTTTGCAACAAAACCTTTCTTAAACCAATACATACTACTGCTTTGGACTTCATAGTAGTTTCTAAAAGACAATAATACCCATATTGATACATTCTTATAATACCTATGGACTGAAACCCATTAAACCCTGGTTAATTAAGAAAACAGGTTACATTACCATATTAAGAGAAGGCTGCCCTAGTCTTTCCTGATAGATATTAATCACTTTATTAATAATAGAAGTGAAAAAGTATAGTTTTTACATCTAAGCATGACATTAGACCACGGAGATCTAGAAGCTAGAACTAGAAATCTTGGTTCAGGACAAAAACTCAGAATAACGAGTTAGAATAATCATGTTAAACTGAAAACATGATCTAGGAGAAAATTAAGATTCAATTAAAGAATGTAAATAGTTTAACTAAAAATTATCAACTGAGAAAATACTGGATGAGGACACACAGTATGTAGCTATTCTGGTATTCGGTGGTTAGAGTTACCATGAATAAAAATGATCAGCAATATCATATTCTTGCATAAAAGACAACACAGTACCTGGAACTGAAGCTAATCTTTACAGTTTACTTGTTGATAAGGCTACAGCTGTTCCTTACAGAACATTCTCTACCTATGGAATAAAGGAAGAAATTACGAGGAATTCAGCTGAACTTTCAGTTGAGAGGAAACCAATACCCAGAATGTGCATGCAAAGTAAAAGCTCATTCTGCAGGAATATTACCTGTTTGTTGTGACCAGAAGGAATCCTTTCCCTAAATCTAGCCCTGTCTTTTTACAGATTTATCATATGTACTTCTCAGTGCCTGGGAAATGAATTTGTAACTAAGATGCAATTTTCTTAAGCCATTTCACTTTTTATCAGTTTCTTGCTTCTGTAAAAACACTAAACACAGTTAACTAGTTTCACAATGATTTTATCTACTCCAACCACACCAGATGGGTTTAACAATGAAGTAAAAAGTTTTCTATCATGGTTCAAAAGATGCCTTTAAATATAGCAGCACAAGGCCTGTAAACAAAACTATAAGGAAAAAAAGCTGCACGTGCAACCACAGTTCTGAGGTAAAAGCAAATATCTCACCTGTTTTTTCATGTACACTTTTACTAAAAATCCTCAAGGTATGCACTACCTTCAAAAGCAGTAATTTTGGTTTTAGAGCAAATGTTTGTGTTAGAAACCAAACAAACAGACCTACCCACCCCAACAAACAAAAAAACATCACAGCTAATAAAACCCCAAATTCTCAATTCCCCCTTTACATAACTTCCAACACTTCCATACCTTACTGGTATTTTATACATCCCCCTCCCCTCACCTGGCCATTTGCATTGATTAAGATATGATGTAAAAGAACATTTATTGAACACTCAGCCACATTTAAGCTTCTGACTCCTAACATGAGCTCAGCTTTTGATAGCAATCCCTATACACCAATAGACAACTTGGACATGTTATCAGAACGGTATCTTATTAGCAAACAAACCATTTTGCTTCAGTATATTATATCCATATTCTACCTCTGCATAGTTACAGTACCAGTACTTCTGTGAATTTAACTAAGATGCTGATATGAATAAAATTAATTCAAGTATCTGGTTACAGAACTGAGCACTAAATCCATAGGTTTCTAAATATTAAAACTATATTAAAAATCCTAAGTTAGACCCAACATCACTACATCAATTCATCCTTACATCTTAGTTACATCCTAGCAGTGATTTTACAAGCAATACATTCACCTCCATGATTTTACAAGCAATACACTCACCTCCATGAAAAAAATAAAACACATTGAAAAGTTTGTCAGACAGTTCAGAATGACATCTCCTTTTAATACACTATACATGCTCGCTCCTATGCAAACCAAGTTTTAACTGTCATGCTGTCAAGAAAAATGATAATTCCCTAGTCATATCTTATCTTTTAGAGGAAGTAAGAACTACAGAACATTTTACAATAGAAAGTTGTATCATATGTTTAATAAAACCTGCTGCTTGCATGAAAGCCCAGAGAGACGTTGTATTTGAATCTGACAATGAAAAAGAAAAAAATCAAAAAACCCAACCAGTGAACAAAATGTAGAAAAGTGGGAAGCATTTCAAGTTTTATACATGTCTATTCTATTTCCTCAGCCCTCTCTCAGCCTAATGCAATATAAAAGTCCATTAATAAAAGCCTAAACACATGTAAAGAAGTCTTAGAGCTGCATTGGGTCATTAACTGTGATAGACCTTCTTAAGGGATATATTCATGTGCCTACTAAAAAAAGTCCCAACCTGAAAATCACCTTAAGTATGGTGCCTTATCAATGTTCAACAATCAGGCATCACCTGTAGCAACAGATGTACGTTTCAAAATCTAGTCTGTTTCGAATGCTCCCCTAAATCTGGTTTCAAATGTGTTAGATTATAATCTAACCAACCAAAAAAAACCCCAAACCAAAAAGTTACTCATACTTCTTTGATCTAATGAAATTAGGTTCATTGCACTTCAGTTTTTTCTTCAGATTTTGCAACAAATATTGTAGAATTACCTTTGTATTTGAAAATTTGTAAGTAAAACAGAACTGCAGCTGATAGTTAAGGTAGGCTATAACCAAGCAAGTTAGTGCAGAACATTCTCTGCAAGGGGAAACTGCCTCATTTGAGACAGCTTGGATCTTTCCACTCGCAGTGCATTTGCAATGTACACATCTTTGTTCAGGCTGGGAGGGAAGGATGCTTCCTAAGGTACAGATGTTTTGATTATTTTTCTTTAAAGGGGTTCATTGTTGTTTTTTTTGCTTTGCAGCAAAGGTACCTAGAACCTCTGTGTGGAACTGTTCACTTTTTATTCTTAAAGTTACCTCAGAAGAACTAAGCAAACTATTCGAGTTTGTCCTTTATATAAATTATGAGCAAATGGGAAAGAAAATAATTGCAAAGCATTAAAACTGGGATATGATCTCCAGCCGAGTTATGATGAGTCACACATTTCACTAAAAGTTTCTGCTTAATCCACAAACGCTCAGTTAAAAAGTCCCAGCGAGATGTGAACCAAAAAGAACAGCAGTTGCATTTACTGTTACGTCATACAACATAACAAACCCACTGAAGTCTCAGGCGTTCTGCTGTGCGTCTCTTTCTGGCAAGACTTTGCAATTTGTTTTTCCTAAATATATCTAAACTGACACAAGAAGGTAGGTAAATTTCACAGAAGAGCAAGATGAAGCCAGTAAAGATGCCGACACTGCACTTGCAAGGATACTTGATCCTACTCCTCTGCAACAAACCGGAGTGAAGACAACGCCGGAGTGAGACAAGTTTGAGCGAACTGCTGGCAGCACCGCCCCTGCCATCCGGGGGGAAGCTGCGGCACCCACTGCCCGGGGCAGCACAGACAGGCTGCTTCTCCCCCGCCACGCTCCCGTCCCGCGGTGATCCTCTCCCGCTTCTCCCTCAACCCGCTGGAAACTTTCTGCGGGGCGCGGCCCGGCCGCTGACACCAGTGCCGAGCCGCTGTGGCCGCGGGATGCCGGGGCCGCACTCCCGGCGGGCAGGCACAGCCCGGGGCACAGCCCGGGGCACCGGAGCGCCAAGAGGCTCCTGCCGAACACACCCACCCATGTGCCACCCTACACCGCGGCTGCTTCCCACCCGCCCTTCGCCCCTCGGCCGGGCGGCAGGACAACTTTCCAGGGGACGCTTGCCCTCTCCCGGCACGGGAAGAGTGTCGGCTCGGCTCGGGCCGGGCAGGCGTGCGGGGCGCTTACCTGGCGTCCCCGCTCGGCTGCAGGGCACGGCAGCGTCCCCGCGGTCCCCTTCATGCCCGAGGGGCTGCCTTGCCCGCACACTCGTCCTCATCCAGCTTCCTGCCCGCGGGCTGCGCCTCCTTCCCTCGCCCTGGCGGGGCGGGCGCCGCTCTCGCGGTCTCGCCGGCGCGGCAGGGAGAAGGAGGAACGGAGGGGCGGGCTCCAGGAGGAGGAGGAGGAGGCGAGCAGGGGGCGGGAGATGAGCTGTGCCCTCCCTCTCTCCGTCCCAGCAGCTGAGTGGACAGAGAGCAGCCGCGGACGGGCAGCGCTCCCCGGCTGTGGGGGGCACCGGGGCTACCCCGGTCTCCGCTGCACCGCGTCCCTGCCGTGGTCCCCGGCTCTGCCGGGCAGGGCAGGACAGGGCAGGGCTCGGCTCGGCGGTGCCTCTGGAGGGCGCCCCGATCCCAAAAGCTCTGCGCTTCATCGGAGCGAGCCGGCTCCAGGGTCGTCGGCTTGGCCGGGCCGGGCCCGACTGGGCCGGGCCGGCACCGCCGCGCCTCGCCCGCGGGCGGGGATGGAGTTTGGGGCCGGCCTCAGGGTGGGACGGACGGGCTGGGGAGGATTCGGGATGTGTGGTAGGAGCCGGGACAGGACAGATGTGGTGGAGAGCGCAAAAGGAGCTGGAGGAGGATGCCGGAGAAGGTTGTGAGAATAAGGTTTGCGCAGTTCAGGAGAAGAAAAAGGGATCGGGGAGGAAAAGAGGGAAACTGAGGCAAAGAAGAAGGGTGACGTGCTGGTTGGGAAGATGAATGATAAAAACATTTTTTCCTGATAAATTTTGCAGAAAGGGTATTCAGAAAGGCAGGGAGGATTGAATACCAATAACCAAAGTTATCTCACTGATAACTGAGAGAAGAAAAGAATAGGAAAGGATTGTCGGGCAGCAAAGGGGGAAATGTGTCCTGTAAGTCGGCAAAGGCAGGTTTTGGGAAGATGAAGAGACTAAGGAAATAAGGATTCCGAGGAAGCCAGAATTTTACTGGGCTTGGCAGGAAATACATGTGAAACTTAGATGATGGGTATGGAGAAGTTTAGTGCCTTATCCTAGAGGTTAGAAAAATGAGTCACTGAGGAAGTGATTTTAACTTAGAGGGGATTTTAATTAGGGAAAGTATTCTCAAGTGAAAGCATTGGAAAAGTAGGGAATAAACACTGCAGGAATTTCTGGGCAAGAAGGAACTCTGAGATCAAAAGAACAATTCCCAGCCTGAAACAGCTAGTGCATCTGGGGAGAACACACAAACTTCTTGGTTGAAAGGCATGGGAGTGTTGCTTCTATATGGGATAGAAATCACCCTGCCCAGAAACTTCTTCTGTAAGAATTGTGCAGTATATCTTAGCATTTTCTGGAAAAATGTGCCATCCCACATGGGTAGTGGAGAGTTAGATTCAAGCTCTCCAAACTGAACTCACCTTTACAACCAGTGTAGCAAAGTGGATCCTGACCAGCCAGGACCAGCAGTAAAAGCAGTATTCCATACAGACTTGATACCATCCTAGTCTTTGGAGAACTGAATTGAGCTTTAGCATTTAGCCAACCCAGTATGAAGAATGTATGGACATGCAGACTCACTGCCTTCAGTGTTTACTGACTGGAAGTTCATGTTGCTGAACTGAGCTACCCAGGAGTGTCTGCTGCCCCTCGTGGAAAATGACTTGAGATATGATGGGATACAAACTGGGATATGTGAAACTGGAGTAGAAATTACTGTGTGTACACTGAAATGTGTTGTTGAAAAAGGAGGTATCCTAGCCTGCTTTGGGGTAGGGCTATGTAATCTATATCTTTCCCTTTGTTTTTCTCTCTTTGTTTTTCCTCCTTCCCTTTATTGTGCAGAATCTTTCTTCTTGTGGCTCATCAGTCCTACCACTGTAATTACATCTAAAACTAATTTTACATATTTTATGTATATAGAAATTTTTATGGGAGTTGTTACCTGAGATCTAGTGGATGTTACATCTCTTCCATAGAAATGGTGTGCCAGTCTGGACTTCCAGATGCTGTTGTAGTATTGGACAAAATAATGATGGTTAAAAATGAATGTTTAGCTGGTTGTTCATAGGAGTTGGAAGTTCTCTGTCAGTTACCTACGGAGCTGCTGCTCAGAACTGGTGAAAATCTTGTATATATGAAACAAGGTGAGATCAGCATTTTCAAGTTATTTCTGAGCTTTGTCATTCCCCCCCCCCTTTTTTTTTTGTGATCATTATGAGGACCTGTAGCTAATTAAGAAATCTTTTGTGAAAGGTTGCTGTCATAGGTGCTGCTGGTACCAGTTTGTATTGTGTGTAACAAATCTCTTCTAGTTCCTTGAACTGTTATGTGTCTGAATTTGAGTTAAAGTACTGCAAGTTATTGTCCTGGATAAACAAGCAAGTTTCATCAAAATCAGTGGAAAATTCAGTCACTTTCTTAAAAGTATCTACTTGTTAGCAAATTCTGTGCTTGTTAACATAATCCATAATGTACAAGGATTTGTAAATCCAAACTATAGTTTAAAAATTATTGGTATGGGTAAAATTCTAACAGTATGCTTTAATCACTGGGACAGCATTAGAATTTGATATGTTGATCACCTAGATTCAACGGTACTAATAACTTGTGTGCAAGAATCTATTCCACAGAAAATGAAATATTGTATTATGGTTAACAGCTATAAACTCCCTGAAGAACACACATTTATTTTGAGTGACTCTCCATTTTCTTTTTGAAGACAGATTGCTTGTATAGTGGAATAAGCAGTGAGTGAGATATAAATGTAAGGATATTTGGGTTTTTAAGAGCTGGTTAATATGTTGATCAGTTCAGGTTTGTGGCATTTATACCATCACGTAAACAGTTGAGTTCACCTTCTCCTCCCTCACCTGTCCCCACCCCCCCATCCACCCCTCACTGGCCATGTTGCTTATGTCTTTTTTTGGATTGCTACTCAGCTGTGACAGAAGCTAAACAGCTTTCCCAATAAAGAAGCTCAAGGTCGGAGTTGGGAATAGCTCATACTGACGGCATGGATCCATCTGTACTCAGCTGGTTCATAGCAGCTTAGTCATCGTTCTCCAGAGACGCAGCCTTTGGGTTATGCTATGACTTATCACAGTGCTGTCATGTGCCATGTAAATGTTAATCTGCCAGCATAGCCCTACCCTTCAAAAACTGTGTATTGGACTGGGAAGTAGCCCACTTGTCTCTGGGAGGTCTCTGTGGCTCATGCTACAAATCCTGTGCTCTAGTTTGCACACTTAAAAAAGAAGCAATGATGCCCCCCCAAGAAAAAAACAACAAACCAAACAAAAAAACCCAAAACCTAACAACAAAACAAAAAAACCCAACAAACTCTAGAGTTCTTAATATTTTCAGGGATTATGCCTGAGTGGTCAGCTTCCTTCTGAGGAAAATATCTTAGGTGGTTTTATGAGGCCATCTCCCTGGACATCATCCAACTGTGTAAATTCAACTCTGAAAAATGCAAGGTGGGTTGGCCTAAAGGATCCAAAAGCTTTTCTGTGGCTATGTGTCATATGACCTGCTTTTTCTGTGAGCACCTATACAAAACATAAAGCAAGCCCTTGACAACATATTAAAGAAATACAGGGCTTTATCTAGTTCCATGGGCAGGTATTGGTAATAGTTTCCCTCTTGAAATCCAAGGATAGAATGACAAGGTGATTCTACATTCAGACTCGGTGTCCATGAAAAGAGCTCAGCCTAGGTATAAGATCCAGAGGACTGGAACCTATGGGCAACCTTCAGTTGTGAAGTGCACTTTGTTTCTTATAACCCTGAGCTCCTTAGAAATTCATGCTCCTGAAATGAGAATTTAATGTTCCTCTTCAGCTCTTCTGTTGTCCATTTTATTCCTCATACTGTATCTGGAATCCATGATTGTGTCTCCAAGTTGTTTATGCTCTTTATATAGCAAACAAAAAGTATCCTTAGCATTCTGAAGCTTGGTTTTGAAGATTTCTTGCTACTCCTATTAACTCTACAGCCACTTAGGCAATAAAATCAGGATTCATTTATAAACTGGGGTCTGCAGCCTTTTCTGGTGCCTTCTCCACTGAGGGGCCCCAGAGTGTAGGTATTGGTTCAGTCCAAGGCTCCTTTCAATGCAAACCTGCTAGATCCAACTTGCTGGATTCCAAGAAGAAACACAGGCAGTATAGTTTCCTTGGTCATTCCTGGCAGGCAGTTTTTTGCATGCCTTCCTTGCCTCCTTTTTTCCCTTAACCCCTCTTAAGATTTTTTTCCTCTTATATTTGAATGTACTCTTTCAACGATTTCTTGCTTCAATGCAATTTTAATGTAATTAATTCAGACTACACATTTTGCTTGTCTTTTTGTACCCTTTAGATCTGACCAATATGAATGCACTGTTAGCAGAATGAACACAATTTTCATTTCTACCAGTTCTGTACCTATTTATATTGTATTATTTTCTTCTCAGTTGCTGGTTTATCTCTTTTTTTCCCTCTGTCTGTGGAGAAAGGAATAAAATAATTAGATTTTAAATGCCATATTGCACTCCTAAATAAGGTATTGGTCATTAAAAATAACCTTTTATTATGACCCATTTTGTCACAAAATGTCTTGTAGGTCATAGGTTGTCCCTAAGTAAAATCTTTAACAATTTTTTTTTTTAATTTATTTTTTAATACTACCTGCTTAAACCAAATCAGTCAGTGATTCAATGTAGTTGGATAAGTGTTTTGCTAGTGTCATGGTAAAGGTTGTTCATAAGCATGAAACTGTTATTGTAAAGCATTTGTAGTAGGGTGGCAAGTGCTTGAAAAGTAATTGTCTCACAGTGATGTATGGTAAAATTGTGTACTATATTTAAACTGGTCAAATACAACAACTAAGACTTATCTTTTTCTTTATTTAGAAAATGGGATTGTTTCCTGAAATTATTAGTATCTCTTTCTGTAGTCATACAGAGGATGGATCTGAGTCATACAAAGAGGATGGATCTCTGCTGTAGGTATTCTAGCAGTGGTTATAAGCAAGCTCTTTAAAAGCCTTCTGAAAAAGGGCTTTAGAATATTGTTAACAGGGGTTTTCTGCTTTGCATTTGTTCTGGTTTTACTTCTTCTATCAAAATTATACTATATCTCTTGCCAAATTGCTATCAACATGCATGCGGCA